GAAAGTTTAACTTCAAAATCTGACCTGAGTTTGTTTTCCATTTCTTCCATGCGTTTCTTAAATAAATGTTCCATGTTGTCAACACTGTCTTTAATTTGTGTATTGACTACAGTTTGAGTATTCAATAGTTTAGTGTCGACGGCTTCGTTAACCGCGACAACTGATTTATACAGTTGGCGAACTTCCTCCGTTCTAGTTTTGCTTTCTTCTTGTATACTAGAGGAAATGACTTCTCGAATATCACATTTTTCTTTGTTGTTTAAATCCACAATCTCTGTGTATTTTTCTTCAAGAACTTTAATGCTGGTATCATAACTTTCTGTTGATTTGTGAACGGACTTTAGGTACTCCGAAATAACAACGTGCGCTGTTTGATTCTGACGCGATGGGGTTGATTTCAACACTTCCATTTTGTCTAACAGTGATTGTTCAAAAGTGGCTTTATCCGTTTTTGTAGTAAGATCAGTGACATCAGTATTATCTGCTACCTTTTCATCTGATTTCGTATATAATTCACCGATTTTTGCTTCAGAGTCACAGATACACTCATCATCGCTGTCAATGTAATTGTGCGAATTGCCGAATTGTGTTAGCTTCGAGTAAACAGCGGCACTCCTAGGAACCATAGCTGTAGAGTTGAATGCCGCAATGAAATTCTCGGTGTCTTCTCTCTGGGAAAAGCATTTATGTAAAGCACTAGGGTATTCATTGGTGCTTTTATAACAATCATTCCATGACTCAAAAATTCCAACAGATCTTCCTTTAGCGACTGCATAGAATCGAGAGTTTTGTTTACCTTTTTTCGTCTTTTGTTTCCTTTGTTCCGTGGTGTGTCTGATGTCATCGTCGTTGTACAAAAACATAGGGTCGCGTAACTCTTTTCGTATGCGTTTTTCCTTAGCCATAATTGATCAACGCAGTCTTGAGAACTTTAAATACCTGTTCCTATATATGTGGATTGTGGATTAACCAAAGTTACCAATAAAAAGTTTGAAGTTTACTGAGCGTAGTTCACTTGTACCATTTCAAAATGGTGAATCTTCCCACTCTGGCGCAGTCGGGCGGTTAATTTGTTTTTGTAGTTTAAATAAAATAAACAAATTCGCGAAATGG